TCACATTTGGTGACTCCCCTTCCTCAGTTCCCGACCCCCTCCTGCCCCCCCCAGCTAGCGCAGCAAGCACGCCAACGTCCCCGCCTCCCGAAGACGACCTCATCTGCCCCCCCTTCCTGAGCGGCCTCGCCCCGGCCATACTGCGGACCGGCAAATCGCTGCAGCTGCTGAACCACGTGATTCAGGACCCCTCCTCGGAGCTGGCGCGCCCGTCGGCCGGGCCCTTCCCCCGGACGTCCTTCCCCTTCTCCTCGCCGTCCAAGAGCCCGTTCCGCTATTCCGCTCCCCCCTCCCCCGGGCTGCGGGCATCGAATCCCCCCACTCCGCCGGACACACGCAGCCGGCGCGCAAGCCTCGTCTCGCAGCTGCCCAGCCCGTCCCAGAGGGCGTCCCCGCTGCACACGCCGCTGAGGACGGAAGTCGCCTTCTCGCCAAGGCTTCCGCAGGCTGCGTCGTCGGAGCCGATTCCTTCCGGCGGAAAGGAAGAGTTCTCGGCGGAACGGAGCCGCGAGGAGCGGCGGCCGCTGTACCACAAGTTTTGCGACTCGCTGAGGTTGTTGGTGACAGCGAAAGTGGGGTCGGAAGCGGAAAAGGCTACAGTGTTGGCGGAACGGACCGAGGCGTCTGAAAGTGCGCAGAGCTCGGATGAAGGGGATAGTTTGAGTAGCTTGTGGGCGAAGTCGTTTGTAGTCGAGGATTGGGCTGTCGCGCTGCAGCATGCGGCGATTGAGGCGTCCGAAGGAGCGGCCGCGCAGACCAATTCGGACGCCGTGTACAGCTTCCTCCGACATGACGCCAACACTCGAAGCCAGAATCAGAACGGAGACGGACAACTAGAGAGGGCAGAGTTTCTAGCTTTGCCGCCGCTCGACGACGCGGACCTCCGGGCAGCTCTGGGGCAGGAGACAGAAGCGGCAAGCACGAGCGGACGGGGAGATGATGACGAACTTTTTCGGCGGGTACCGGGGAACGACTACGCGAACGCGCCGAACGGAGGGGCGCTGGTGGTGGATCTGTGCAAACTAGATGCGGGCTCACTCATGCAGCGAGTGGCTAGAGAGCCCACGTGGCTGCCACGTGTCAGTTTCGGAGTGGGGAGAGGGGACGAGCTGGAATGGCTCCGGAAGGCGAGGCTCAGAGCGACGCCGCCGCCTGCGGTGCTCATCCAGGAGTGCCTCTTAAAACATATCGGCCAGCAGGTACGAAGTTTGGGACATCTTCTGGAGATTCTTGTGAATCGGTTGTGGAGAGTTAAACGTTAAAGGGTTACTCCGAATCAGTTCGATGCGCTAAGACGAATCTGGAGATTGCTTAGAGGTCTACGTGGGAGTGCGGACATTGTAAAGCGAGGCTTGGAGAGTTGTGCAATCAGCTTGTCGTTCATCAAGCAAGATATTTCTGCTTGAAGGAGCACACCGCATCTTTCTTGGCAACTCAGAATCCTTCTGCTTCCACTCGCAGTTTCTTGCTCTGGCCCCTCGAACGTTGAGTATTTCCGGCGCGCAACTCTTCCGCTAGTCAACATTCTGCTAGGTTCTTGCTTCGCAACCCAATAATTTGCCCGGAACAGCGCACTGATCCCACGTGTAGATTTTGTCGTGGACCATGCTGGCACACGACAAAAACAGCTCCTTTTCGGGCAATGCAACAGTCCTCTCCGAGCAGAATGCAACAGTACACGACCTACCCGAAACAACAATCATGTAACCTGTGAGCCTTGAGAGCGCGCCCGACGGTGCAGGTGCATCGTACGTGCGCGCGGCGAGAAAGCTCCTCCGCAAGCGGTTGCAAAATTCCTTTTCGAACAGCAGCCACAGCATCCGCCTTATCTCACAAACCCGTTCCTGCAACCCCGAAACCCTGGAAGTAACAGCATATGAACCACTTGAAACCCCACTCCCTAACCCGCGCTTAACCCTGAAAGCGCCCAAGAGTGCAGGTCGACCACGTGGGTGCACGGCTGCTGGCGCGGCTGATGGGCGAGTGGCAGCTGATCGAGGAGCTGGCCATCCTGCGCGCGGTGTACCTGCTCGGGTCGGGCGACGTGCTGCACCAGTTCACGACCGCGCTCTTCGCCAAGCTGGAGCGGCGCGAGCCCTGGGACGACTTCCACGAGCTCAACACCATGCTCCAGGTGGGGGGAGTTTTGGCTGTTTTAAATTGTTGGGGCCTGGTGATGTAGTGCGAAGGTATGGGTTCTACGTATCGGACAGTGTCACGTTTGTAGGGCATATCGCTGTTGGATGGTTCCTTGCTGACTTTTGGGGTTCTGTCTTTCTTTGGAGTGGTAGGACGATTCATAGAGCAGGGATGTTGGGGGAGCTTCGTCCTTTCAAGCAGCGAGCAGGAATGGAGTAACGCCTTACGACCATATAAACCGTGCTGATAACACCACATCCAAGGCGAGTCTTGCTTTCAGCAAACCCCGAGAGATGACGTCAGTACCTACCCCATCGATCGCGCTTCTCTTCTGCAACCGCCTCAGAAGGCGGTCTCTCGACTGCGTATCAAACCTTCTGAGCCCTTTTCTCGCAGAACTCGGTGCGCGCTTCGGGCGACTCCGCCCTGTCCCTCATCCAGGACTCGCTGCTGATCCGGGTCGTCGACCCGGAAGGCAGCGACGCCCCCAGCCACCGCCCCGTCCTGCGCAGCTTCGGCATCGACGCGCTCGACTGCCTCCGCTTCTCTTACAAGGTAGGTCGGGCCCGCAGCATGGATGCGTCAAGCGTGCGGTGTGGTGTGGGGGAAGAGTGTGCTCGTATAGCTCACACTGTGCAAAAGCAGGAGGTCCTAGCTGCCGAGAGCGCCGGGTTGTTGCTTAGTGAGGTCAACGATAAGCAAGCGGTTGTCGAAACGTTAGTTCGAATGGACTCTTTGGATCTTAACAAAAAGAGCCAGTACTCGGCAGCGCTTCGAGATGTTCTGATAGTTCAGCTTTGTAGTTTCTGGATGGGCGGTGCGTGTTCCACTATGGTGGCAAGATATCAATCGGCACCAACCTCAAGCTTTTAAGAACCGCGTGAATGGGGCACACCAGCCGGGCCCACCTCTCAATCATCCATCCTGTGTCTTCGTTGTCGTTCCCACCTTAGCCCGCACTTTTGTGATCTGACTAGGCAAAGAGGACCTTCTCTCTTATTCTAGTGCCTTCGGTTCGTTGCGCAGGTATCGTGGCCGCTGGAGCTGATCATCAGCGAGGCGGCCATCCACAAGTACAACCAAGTCATGGCCTTTCTACTCAAGCTCAAGCGGGCCAAGCACGGCCTCGACAGGGCCGCCCGGTGGAAGGTAAACCCGCTTTGCTCTGCTGCCCCTCCAAAATGCCTCGGTTGAAACCGGTTTCTTTCTCGCACACTGGTTGCCGTGCGACATGACTGAAGAGCGTCGTTCATCTTCTCGTCAATCTTCCGACCAGCCATTAGTGCAGCTGTGAAGCGCTTTACATGGCCGATTTGACGGGACAGCCCTTGCCTCCGCTCAATCCGGGCTCAGTCGAAGATCCCTCTGGTGCTCGGAAAGATTTGTCCTAGCCGGAGGACCGGACGAACGATCTAGCCGCTCACGTGGTGCTACGTGGCTGTCTGCCGTAGATCAACGGCCTGGGCAGCTCCGGGGGCAAGCAGCGGCTCCTCTTCCAGCAAAAGCTGCTCCACTTCATCAACACGCTGCACCAATACGTCATGGACCGGGTTAGTGATTAACCCAACTCTATATTACCTCTGAAAGAACAAGCGCACTTCAGCATTTTATGATGCCCCTCGTCAATATCGCTCTCAGCAGCGGGATATTTCCCAAGTCGGTGGCCATCTCGGCCACCCCCGCGTCTTCTCTACGTCGCTCTCGTTGCCACGCGTACCTATTTCATTTACTGGCATCTGGTCGAAAGGAGCCGTCCAAATGATAAAATTCAAGAAAGATAATAGTAAGCCAAAATAATAATAAGCTCCAACTAACACTAGAAAATTCTACCTCAAAAATACACCCGCTCCGCACCCGTACCCACTAACCACCAAACTAGCCCTAACCATCTCAGTGCGGTTACCTTCCTACTATCTCGGCTTGCTATTATTTTTCGTGAGTTTGACGTCGAAATGGCCCACTCAAACGGCGCTTCAATAGGCTGAAAGCTCACTGCCCATCCCGCTTCCCCGCCAGGTCCTCCACAGCGCGTGGCTGGACCTTCGCACGGAGATGGCCGCGGCGACCAGCCTGGACGAGGTCATCGCGTGCCACGAGCGCTACCTGGCCGCAATCCAGAAGCAGTGCCTCGTCGCCTCCGACAAGCTGGTGAGACGCTCCGTGCGATCTGCGCGTTCTGCCGGTCCTTTTCAGTTTCAACAGTGGTCCGCGAAGGGCATCCTTTCGGTTTGTCTCTCGCTAGTTTTCTAAAGTTGCGATCCCGCCAAGCGCCAGCGGACGCTTTCGACATGCCATACCTCAGATCTCAAATCCTGCCCAGAACAATGACATGGACAAACCCTCAAACGCACGAGTCGCTTGTACGAGCTGCCTCGTTCAAAGTGGTTCAAACCTTTGGATGTGCGCTACGAATCTGCCGCGCTAACCATATAAAGACCACAAATCCCCCAACTTCAAACATGAGCGACCCCCAAACCCCTTGACCTGGAACGCCCGATGATTACAGAGCGCACTTCCTTAGATCCTGGGGTCCTTAGAAGTCTCCCAAATCCTCAATACCCCCTGAAAACACCTTGCAAAGCTCAAACGTTCTTGTAAAACTTCCAATGTTTCTTTGTAACAACACCGAGATGCACGTCAAATTCTTATATGGAAAATGCCGACAGAAATATTTTCTGGACGAACATTGAGTTCGTCCATAAGAAATTCAACAACAGCGTACTGACTCTTACAAGTCTCACATTCCCACCAGCGGGGAGTCTCACCCGATTCCCTGACCGCTTGCTGCAGTGGACGCTCCTGGCGAGCCGTGTGCGCACAATGGTCGCGATCGCGCTGGACTTCTGCTCGCTCCAGCGGACGCTCTCCTCGGACGGCGCGAACCCGGACGTCCTCGCGCGCGGCGAGGCCGAGATGCTGCGCCTCGAGCGCCAGTTCCACGAGAGCATGGTCTTCCTGCTGCGGGTGAGGCGCGACCACCTTCTTCCGTTCCACTCTGAAATGTGTCTACCCAAAAAACGAGGCATTGATTCTGCCTGCTGCGGAGGAGGTGCCCCGTCCGTATCGGGCTTCTAGGTGTGCTCTTTTTCCGCTTGACAAGTCTGTTTTCCTGCCGCGGTCCATTCGGGTCAGGGCTTAAAGTCGCTGATCGATTGGTTGTTACTCTTGGTTTTGTTACTGAGGGCAGGCGGTGGCGTCTTCGGCCGAGGCTCGACGATGCGACAAACTATCACGTCTTGATACGGATAGGGGGTGGCGTCCTGGATGCAAAACAGTGCAAAATAGTGCTCCTGTGCCTTTTGCTTAACAAGCATGAGCGTGCTGTCATACACCAAGGTCCCTTCTAAATTGTCCCTCATGGTGACAAACAAATTTTTGTTCCGCCTCGGACAAGGCTGCGCAGTTGCCAACGGAAGCTCACCGTGCTATTATCCGTCTGGTAATCGTTCTGCATGATGCGCTACGAGTCTGGCTCGTTTACCTCTTCCCGAAGTTAGCAAATTGGAGATTACGCACGACAGTGGATGTAATCGCTTTGATAAGCAAGTTTGATTTGTTTCTGCACTAGACCTTTCTCTCGACGGCCAATTTGCCCTCTCGCTCGTTTCGAGCATAGCCATATTTCGGTTCCGGCCTCTTTAGAAGTTGGAATAATTCCGTGAATTTTGATGTCTCTTTGATGTCCTTTTCGACCATCTTGACGAGTCGCTGCCCGCCGTCGCTGCAGGTCCTGTCTTCAAAACTGAACGTGGGCCATTTCCCTCATCTTGCCGACCTTGTTATACGGATCAATTACAACCACTACTACATGAACGAGCAAGGCAGAATCCTACTCTCACCAGCTTCTGCTTCGATGCACTAGAGTTGGAAAGAGCCGGTTGATGATTGGATCTAGCTGTAGCTCGAGGCAGCAAACAGATGGAGACGGGTCCCATCAGGGACGCGTCACAAAGGCACTTAAGCTTCCGCACATTGCTGCATCGTTTAGAAATTCATCGGATGTGCTTTCCAGGCTTGGGAGCCCCAGGTTATTGCGAGCTGCATGTAATGGTTAGCGACGGATCCATCAGCTTTGCATAAGGTCTGAATTAGACTCAGACAGCATTGCATGTGGGGCAACGTCGGTTGTGCGTTAATTTGACCACGGCATATATTTAATGCATGGGCGGCCGTGTTTAGAACTTTACGCATCGTCCGACAAACAACGAGCCACGTAATCTGGCACACACATGTGATCGCAAAACAATACCTAGCAAGAATGATCAGTATCGATTGCCACACCAGTCGATCACCCAATGTTCGAAGTTTCCATGCTTGGGAGCTTTGAAAAGACTTCAGATAGATCAACCGCTCTCTGGCGTCGGGCCAGATGAACTTTAAACACTTGTCAACTGTCAGGTCATTATACACAAACAAGCACTATAAAACTCATTCATCTGCTCAAGTCTTTATGCATTATTTCTCTTGTAAGAGTTTTGCTCGAGTGGATGCTTCTAGCTATGATTTTAAACACGACCTCTGCAGTTATCAACGCTGATTCCTACCTGACTCTGGTCGAAATCAGCAAGCTATTGTTATCTAGATCGAGATAATCTAGAAGGTTAAAGTTTCATCGAGGCCACATCTGCGTGTTGCAATGCGACCTTCTTACAAAGGTGTCACAACTTTTACCTAACAACTCCGAGATACCTGTAATATACATGCTAAAGTATAAGCTTTCTATTGACGAAGACTCTGCCGTTTCCGTTTCCCTGAAAGACTGACTCCATCCCCAGACAACGCGCGTGAGGCAACAGCTTGGGAGGGATCCCTTGCTGCCTGAGCCCAGCCAACGTTGGAGGGCGCGGGCTTTCTAGGGAACGGATCAACAACTTGTTGCGCAACGCAAGTGAGACCAGAGTCCTCGCTGGTGGCAGCGTAGATTGTCGAGTTGGCAACCTCAGCGAGAAGCAGCCTGCAGCTCTCCAGGACAGCCTGCAAAAAGAGCATTGCAATCAGCATTCTCGTCTGTCTTTTCAAGTCTATGCTTTTGCCTTCTCGTCTGTACCAACCTGTATTACGTATATCAGATTGAACTCTGCCTGCTAGACTGCAAGAATGATGCAAAAAACCAATCTGGTCACGAAACCAGCACCTTAAGCATGTAAAGAACGCCTATGAACAGTAGAGCAACTGACGAGGTGGCAGTTGAAGCGGGACTCACCGGACTTGGTGAAAGGGTTTTCATCAATGCTGATTGATAGACCTGCGCATCCCTCCGTGGTAGTTCGTGGAGCGCTTGCATCACAGCAGCAGCCGCTGTAATTGAAGGACGGATGGCAAGGAATCGCACATCTGCAAGGAGCAGCACTTAGGATCAGGAAAGTGACCGCTGCGATGCAAGAGCACACAAGCACAATAGAACTCACAACCTGTATCCATTGCAGACTAGCGAAACATGAGGCATTTGCGATCACGCTCCGGCCATTCTTGGAGCGGGAATGCAGTTGGTTGAACGGGGCCTCATTAGATTCTGAAAGGTGCGAGAATGATTGGACTTCTCAGTGCCAGAAACGTGGGCACTGCCACGCAGTGCTCCTTATCTCTCCTCCTTCTTGACATCAGATGAATCAGAGGAAATCTTGCCAAATAGACAGATAGACTGGATCATATGCAGGGCTCACCAAGCAAAGCCCGGAGTAGCAACTCGGAAACCCTTGCATTTAGGGCGGCTGCGAAAGGGCCGTCTGCGCCGATGATGGCAAGGTAGGGATCGACAAAACTGAAGCTGGTTACGCCATGGACGCGCCACTTGAGAGTGCTCAGAACCAGGATCTCCATACGCTGGCTCAACTCTGGTTTGATGCAGAACGGTGTCTTTGACTGCACAACGATTGCGTTTTGTCAGATTGCGAAGAGGAGCAGAACAAAATGATGATCTGGAAAGGCAAGGATGCGTCCTGATTGGGTCCAGTCAGGGGCAAGACTTCTCCTAATCTTCAAGTTGCATAAACCCTTTCGACAACACGAAGTTGACCTACTACACTTTGTCCAATTCAAGACAACCGGGGTTGCTTGGATTGATGGAGCAAGAGGGTGAGAGGGCATACCTGAATGTCAGAAAGAAAGGGTGTGTCGACCTCCTCCATCTTGGCAGCGATTGCCAAGCAGGCCACAGCAACGAGTTGCAGAGGCCATTCGGCATCCTGCAGACGAACATGGAAAAGCTGTGAAACCATGATGTTGTAGAAGTACAATTGACACATGTGTTTGTCTCATACCATGTGCCAGAAGGTGAGGCCAATGGAGACTTTATAAATTTTGGTGGCGCATTGGTCCCTGATCAATCAGGCCCTGGCTTCCATCAATGCAGGCAAAGGCATATGGGGTTTGGTTCTCACCGGCAAGGGGTATGCAGAGAGGAACCTGTCCATGTAGTTGACCGCAAGAGAGGCCGTGAGCAGACTGTAATTGAAGCAGCTACGGACCTGAGACAGAAGGCAAGCAATGTGAGGAAAGGATGCAAGGTAGCACAGAAGTGACACTGTATCGACTCCTTTTCCCTCATGTGACTTGTCTTTCCCAGACTGCTTATAAAGGAGGAGCCTTGCAACAATGGGTTTTTGCTGCTGTTAATGTGGCCCAGCATTTAGTACATTGACAAATCTCCACATCAACTGTAGTCAGGTTTGTACCATTGGACATAAGTAAATACCCAACTGCAGGTGCGGAAACCCCTTATGTCAGTGCTCATTGCTACACGGCTTGACATGCAATTGTTTCACCGTACCCACAACCATGAATTCTATGCAATGAATGAGAAAGGGGAACTACGGCTGAACGATCTGCTGATAGCCTGCGCGGCCCTTATCTATAGTCTCACAATACGAAACCTGGCCAAAGGTGGCACCTTTGAATCAACTGCAACTCTTTGACCATTTTGTGAGGTCGGTAGATCGGCATATAGAATCCTGAGGGGAACCCCTGCTGGACAGGACCCTTCACTTCTCTGCCACCAGCAGATTCAGATCATAAACCCACCTGCATTATCCACCTGATAGCATCCCCTCTTCGTTCTGGACAGACTGCCAGGTCCTGAACCCGGTGAAAGTAGTCAGGCGAGGGGAGGTGGTGGAGTTCCTGCTGAATGAGGACCTCAATGCACTCCCTGCAGTCCTCTAGGTCAGCCTGGGGTTCATAAGAGGTCCGAGGCCACAGGCCGTGGTGAGGGGGGAGAGGACAATTCCAGCTACATTGGCAGGCGGACACATGGAAAGGTGCCGATGTGGACGCATCTGACAGGGATTCAGATGTGCCGCTTGGACTCTCCGGATACAGGTCAGAGTCGGGCTCCTCCTCGTTGCACAGAAGTCCACCCACATCCAACAAAATTGCCGCCATAAGGAGAAAGGGGAAAGTTTTGCTAAAGAGCTTTCATCAGCTTGTCGCCGCAATTGAGACGGTGCAAGCGAAAGAAACCCAACTGGCAGCTGCACCAATCAGCGAATGCTGATAGGTGGCCGACAGTCGGGTGCGCGATTAACGTGTCGTCCCCCAGGAAATTAAGGTCTGCTGTCAGCGCCTTTACAAATGGCAGACTGCTACTCTGATGCAGCCTGTATTGAGGGCATCCAGAGATACTTGCGAAGCCGCCATTGGTGGGCCCCGACGTCCCGCTGCCACGTCTCACGCCCCCTGCTGAATCTGCGAAAAGCGATTCCTGCTCTGGCTGTTTGAGTTCCACTGGCGTTTGGAATCATCATGCAGTCCCTGTGGGTCGACTGATCTCAAGCGTCCCAGCTCATCCAGACTAGAGTTATAGCTCGCGGAAGTTACCCATACGCCGATGACAAAGTTCGAGCCTTTGCCATGCACGAGCTAGCTGGTTCATCAATGTCTAGGTCGGAATTTTAGAATGCATGTACCGTACTGCTTTTTAATATCGGCACCTTCGACGCAAAATAGTTAATTATGAAACGTTTGGAACTTTCGGCAGACCTAGCGTTACCTGCTAAAAAGAACCGTTATCGACCATTATCGCTCTTGGATAATTATTTAAAGTTTTCAGCAGGCCAAATAATTATTTATTTTTCGCCGAAATTTAAAAGCAGTACGGTACGTAGCCCGACATGTCGAGAACCTTGGCGAGTGAAGCAAAGGCAAAGGTAGGTACCTGTAACCTACGCGTTCCAGCAATGACTCGATTCTTCTTCTGGCATTGCCCCTGCACGAAATTGCATATCTCTGTTTAATCAGGGAAAATTCGGTCTACCTTCTACATAAGCCCATGAAAAGTTTGTTCAGCCTGCGGCGTTTCCCCTTCTCCTTCCATCTGATTGGCTCCGACGATTTCCGTCCGAAAGGCAGGTGTAAAATCGGCAATAAATGTCTTCAATTAATTTGTGAGCTGCAATCTCTCTGAATATAGCGCCTCGAATCTCGATTCTCGATTCACCTAGGGTTTTGTCATTAAATCACGCAATTTTGTAACTCTTTTGGAACTTGGTACCCACTACCTACCTACCTACACCTTTTCCTCTAGGCCAGGTTTGCAGTGTGGACACGTCACACGACACATCCCAAGGTATCTACAAAAACATGCTTATATTAGGTCAGATTAATAAGCTTCATTTGGACCAATACGACCTACCTACTTGGACGGCGCTATTGCTTGATCTTCTGCGGACGTCACGGCAACATGACGCCGCCAGTCGACGGAACGACGGATCGCTCAACGGAGCCCAACGACGTCAGATATTTTGACACGCGGCGAAGAGGTACCCCCCTTCCAAAAAATCCACTCAAATATCTCCGCTTTTCGTGTCCATTCGAGCCAAAAGCTGCCCGCGCGAATGCTTTTCCCTCCCCTTTTGTCACCCCCCTTGGGGGCTTCATTTCGTTCTTTTCGACGTTTCGATTTCTTGGCTCGTAATGTCGACCTCTCAATAACCACACAATAAGAGGGGGCGGCCGTCTCCAGCCCTGGAGAGTATCGACGGCGATCGAACCGTCCAGTGTCGCTCAGAGCCCGCCGCCGCACGGTCCAAATCTTCGAAAGTGAGAACGTCCTTCAAACGGTTCTTGCCGCCCTCGAGTTTCAAAATTCAAAAGTTGGACTTGAATTCGTGCACTGCAGTTCACTGACAGAACCCGTAGAAGGAGAACGTGGACCAAATTCGGACTTTTTAAAACCCCCCACAGTTTTGTACCCTGGACTGCAAATTTAGTATGTAGCTTCTCCCGGCCGTACCGGCACTGACTTGGGGATCGGGCCGGCAAGGTACCGGCACTTTCATGGTACCTCCCGCACGGCGCAGGCTAGGTACAGTACCGGTACAATGTACCGGCTAAGTTCAGGTCGGACCCTGGACGTGATCAATGACCCGGGGCCGCGCGCGGCGGAAAGGGTACTAAAGCTTGGTAGGGTCCAAAAGGTGCGAATTTGGTCCACGTTCTCCTTCCACGCACTCTGACAGTGACAAGTTGGCCCTTCAAAATTAGGTCCTGTAGGTAGCCTGATGTCACCTGTAGACAGTAGGTACTAGGTAGGTATGTACTGGGTACCTACCTAGTCGTGACTCGTACAGTCGTAGACTCCTACTACGAGTCCTAGTGGCAACTGAAATCAAATGCAGGGCACCTCTGCGGCTCGGTCAAGTACCTATCCCTGCCGCCAAAGTTGCCGAAGGGTTGCCAATGCAGCAATGCAATGCTACCTACCACCTAGTCCATTCCAAGGGTGCAAAGATATCCCCTGAAAAGCTGGCACAGCCTGAGGCGGCTTGTCTTCGACGTCAACCTGGATGGAGACCAGCACGGAACATCTGGCTAAAAACTCAGCCCGGCGACGGAAGAGTGTCGCAGATGTGCAGAGCGTCCTTAGCCGCTCAAGACATCAGCCAGCTTGTGGTGCGACCGGCTTGCATGCAATCTCAGAGGAAGTGCCTTTGCCTTCGCTGGCAGCATCTGATCCAAATGTTCAACCAATGGCTCCCGCTAAAGCAGCTGAGGTCCTCAAAAAACCGCACCGTCGATCAAGCATGGCTGGAGTGCAAGCAGACGGTCCAATTCCTGAGAGGAAGCCCCTTACGCAGATTCGAAGCTTCATGGAGGTATGTCTTTCACTCTCTGATTGCTTCTCTATTCAAGAAGTCCCTTCCTTTGAGATTTTTGTAAAATATGCAACAAAAGCACTTAGAGAAAGGGAGTGGTGGACTGCCTCCAATGCCCAAAGTGTCTTGAGAGGGGCTCTCCGATCTTCAACCATGATGTCCCTTACCCTTGGCCAACTTTCAGATGTTGCGAATTCAGCAAGTGGAGCAAGTCTATGGCCTTGCTGCATTGCAGGTAAAACGGAGTGAGGAGGCTTACATTCTGAAAGCACTGAGATTGGAAGAAATGGTGACAACACTGCAAGCAGATTTGGCGCAGGAGCAGTTGGAGGCACTTGGATTGAGAACACAGGTCGTAGAGCTCAAAACCAGGTTGGGTGAGGTAGAGAAGGACAAAGACACCTTCTCAAACAGATGCACATCCATAGCTTCTGAGTTGGCAACGGCGCAGCAAGAGCTCAAGGAGCTGAAGTCAGAGCTTGTGAAAGCAACCAACGATTGCACTGCTGCCAAGACTGAGACTGCAGCTTCAAAAGCAGCTGCTGCAGCAGCTTGTGAGAGGATGAAGGCCCTGACTGAAGTCCTCCAGCGACGTGGGACACCGTCATTTGCAAGTGCCTCTGACAAGTACGAAATAGTAGAGGAGAAGGAAATGGTTTTGCATGAGCTACAGAACTTGCAAGCAAAAGTGCATGAGCAGGACGAGTTTGCTTCCAGTCTGAATGAATTACACAACCAGGTAAGCGAGCTTTCGTCACTGTGCCTCCTTGAATCTGCTTCTCAAGGTCCTTGATTTCTTTGAAGATTGTGGCATAGCAGCCTACACGTAAAGATTTCGAGCATCTCTGCAGCAAATCTGGAAGTCTGCTCTTTTTCGATCGATACAGATACCGACAACATGCCTTGGGTCATGTTCGGATGGATCTGTCATGCTGATGCCTAGGAAACACATACACATCGTTGTGAGTACGTTTTGCTGCGCTGCTTACTGTACATTCTGCTGTGCACAAAGCAATATGCAATCTCTGCAGGTCGAAAAGACACGACAGGAGATCAGGGCAAGACTTAGTGAAGCTTCAGCAAAAGCATCTGCGTTAGGGTTAGCACAAGTTCAAGATAAACCCCTCAGTGGTGCAAAACCAGTCCTTTCACTGGCAATCGAGTCTGAGAGCAGCACGTCCTCGTGGAGAGAAGGAGAGTGCACCCCGCAGAGCAAAGTTGCTGAGGGTGACCTTGAATTCTCCAGTTTTCAGAAGTCGCTCAGCAGACAGTTGTCGGATCTGTCAGCTCTAAGCAGGAGAAGCTCAATTCCAGGGTTGCAATCTGAGGACTCGAATGAGGGCTCCCCAGAGTATGTTTCGCTTTTGGCCATCCCGGAAGCTGCAAAGTCTCTTGTGGCCGTCAAGTCACAAACACAGTTTGACAGCCCAGTTGGAGCCATGGCAGCGAGCCCTGCATATCATCGCCGGAAAGCCAGTGATGCAGGAGTGGGATGCACTCTGGATCTAAGCCAACGATTTGGAGCAGAGGTAAGGTGCTAAGTAGACTTTTATCATTGTCGACAGTAGTGGATCAACCATACTCGCCCTTGATTGAAGAGAGCACTGGCTTGCCTTATCCAGATTTCAAGACCGACCCTGTTTCAAAACTCCTTTTCTTAGTCTTGAGGAAGTGGGGTTGCATCTTATGGCGCTTTGAGACCATGACGAGCATACCATCACTTTGTTCCTTGCAGCAAACGGATGAAGATCGAAGCCCCGGCCATTCGTTGACTTAAGCATGTGAACTTCGAGGTAGGGCACAAAAGGCCCTGGTAATTTGTGTTGAGCAATTGAGCCGTTCATAAAGGTGGTGAATACTGACCTGTGAGTCCTCAAATATTGTCAAAACCATGAAATTCGTAGAATAAGGATACTGTTCTTAGTATGTCAGCACGAGGATCTGGCAGGGTGGCCATCATTTGTCCAGCCACATCAGCATGTTGGAAACTGATACATGCAGTGACTATGGGGTCAAACGCCAGTCACCCTTATGGTGCTCTATAGCATACACGGCTGCTTTCGTTTGCAAAGCAACGCGTTAATGGCAGCATGAAGCAAGCCGCCCGAGCATTCAAATGGTATGCAGCATGCAGCACGCATCATCTTTATTTTCAAGCTACAACCGAAAGCCAGAGCTAAACAGGATTGCCGTATCAGTCATACAGAGATTGAGTACACACATTTGCGTGCGCCGATATTTTGCCCATCTAAGTACTGTTACACTACTCCACAAAGCTTTATGAAAGCAGTTGGACCATTAAGGTTCCTGCCGTGTGCCATTGATCGAAGTGCAGCTAGACATGTGGCGTCTAGTCAGCGCCCTAAATTGTTGGATATACCGCGTACAACACTGGATGCACCATGCTTATGATTTGCACTCAAGAATGGCAGGTAGTCAACATGGCACAAACGTGTGTCCAGAATATACCGGTATGCGAGCTAGACACTTTTTCTGGCAAGACTAACTCGAGTAGCCTGTCACGTGCATAAGATAACTACATCCCTTCCGATGGCAGTACTTCCTCTTGCTGCGGTCTGTCTAAGCGTGCGTTGAGCTAAGGGTGATCCTCTCTAAACTACCTGTCCTCTTCTAAGTGTCGAATGAGTTTCCGCAGATGATTTATGTACTCCGAGAAGAATTCCAGGTCACAGTGCGTCCCTCCTTCCACGAAAAGGGGTTCGTAAGCCCGCTTGCACATCTCCACAAGTTTCTTGCCGTGTGACACATCTATGACTTCGTCGGCAGTGCCCTGCAACGATCCGTCCAGAAGGTTGAGCCTGACTGCATTGTCATACTTCGCACAGGTGTCCGAAGGGCTCGCATGCGACCACTTGGTTGGCCAAGAACAAACGGTAGGAAGGCACTGCAATTGACAATCCGAGAGCAAACCAGAGGGTGAAAGAGTTCGAAGCATTCACGATTTCCAATCGTGTTGCAAAATCTTCTCGCGCTTCTCTGCCGGAAACTTACGTGCATGACGAGGACTGGACACTTGACGCTCCCGATCTTCTCGCAGTTCTGTATAAGGAGGCACAACTGATTGAGAGCAAAGTGGCGGTCCCTCTGAGCGACTTGTCGAAGCATGCAGCAGTGCAAATCAGGTAAGTCAGGTTAGAATCGCTGATCCTGGTCAAGCCATAATTTTAAACCGTCCGTGTCCCTTCCAGGCGCATGTAGCTCTTGTCACCATCTCCTGTATAAGCTGCAGCAGGACTCGACGGTCCAAGTGTTATCTTGGCGACGACTTTACAAGAATCTTACTTTGTGAAATCACTGGAACCAGAAAAGAATACGAGTGCAAGCAAAGGGGTGATATCGATCCCAAGATTGAGTCGGCCTTTAGCTGGAAGGAGGTAGTCCCATCTTACGTGCCCGTCTCTTCTCAAGAACGCGTCATACTCATCTGTAAAACGCGCTTAAACGGGGTCGTGCCAGCTGACGAGATGGATTCGCTGTGACAGTAGCATAAACCCATCAGCCTACGCTCGTCTCAAATTGACAACGTGACAATGTGACAATGTGCTCCACCATCAACGGCAAACCGAAGAGACACGAGGATAAGCACAAGAGAAGGTCAGGCCGCTTGACTCCCACGCCGCTTGATCGTGCCACAGAAATAAAGTGCAAACGAAGCAATCACACGCCTGAGCGAGCGGGTAGGAAGCGCTCGCTAAAACGCTCCAACGTCTCGCTTACCTTGAAGATATCAAACCAGTACGTTCGCTTCACAGGGTACATGACTCGGACGCCCGAAAGCATGGGGCTGTGCAACACGACGCCCCGGATCTTCTCCTTCCTAGCAGCGAGATCGACGGTCGGCCCGCTCCCCACTGACTGTCCGTAAAGAACCACGTCCTCTTCCCGCACCCCTAGTTGCCCCACCAAGTGGTCGTACGCGGCGTCAATGTCAGCATATGTGTTCTGTTCACTGGGCTGCAAGAAGAAAGAGCAGACTGTGAAGGCCAGCTGAACGACTTCGGAAGGAAGTTTCGACATCACATTTAACCACAAAAGTGTGTCTATTGGAAGCGGAGGCCAAGCTGTAGAGGGTAGACCTGTCATCATTCGAAGCTCCCTCAGACAATAAGACGGCGCAGAAGCGGCCCTATATAAGCAAGCGTGCAATTGCAGCCACACTGATCGTAATGCTAAGAAACTCTAGGTGGATGGAACAGGCCTCCGTCCCAGGTGGACAAACAACGGAGCCACGTAACTTTAATGGAATCCAGATCAAGGAGAGGGTGCCTACCTTGCCAGTACTTGCGCCGTATCCAGAATAATCATACCTGCAATACATCGCAAGAAGTGAAGTCAAGCCAGTTGTTCAGCAAGAGCTGATGACCAGGCATCTCTGAGCACCTTGAACAAGGAAAGGCTTACCTACACTGACACCTACTGTTTGCAGTTGCTCGTTACGTCATGACAGACTTGCAAAGGACGAAGCGTCTGAAGAAGAAGGATCGTGCTTCTTGGGACGTACCCCAGCTCGCTTTTTAAAAAGTGCACCCTTCTGTATGGGGATGCCAAGGAGGGGCTTCTTTCCTGGGTGCACCAAGCAGCACTAGAAAAAAACGATCATTGATTACGTTTGTCAACGAAGGGCAGGTCAGTGCCTCTGACTACTACTTTCCAGTTCAGGTACTTAATTGCTGGAACTCAGGGCAGGGATCCGACAAAACCATGGGACTGAGAGTCAGGATGCATGTCGCCGCACGACAGTCACTTACCCCAATACATTAATCTCCAGAAGCGAACTGAGCTCAACATACAGGTCGTGCATTTGTCCCAGGTCTGCCGCATTCCCATGGCTGTACAGAAGTGTCAGCCTCGCATACGGGTTCTTGACCAGCATGGCACAGATCTCTGTTCTTCGGCGGGTTTTCAGCCACAGCACCTCCACGTTCTTCTTCAACGGCAGTGGGGACAATCTGCAGGACAACGCATGGTCGACCATTTTGAAGTGCATATCTCTCCGCTTCCTGAACACTCACATTTATGTGAACACTCTTGTTGATCGGACATTGCTGGGGGACTCCTCTCATTCGGTTTGTGCACGTATCTCGTTGAGAAGTTGAGAAAGAACTCAATTGCAAGTTTGAAATATCTTATACAATCAGGTACTTCAAGGAAGTTTGAAACCGGAGGTTGGCTGGCAAGAAACACTTCAAAAGAAACGAACTGGGCAGAGACAGTTGTGCAAAGCTTGGACACGGCACAAATGAATGTTGACTTGGCCAGGACTCTCAGACAATGCACCCGCTATCGTGTCTATAGGAAAGCTCGATTGTTTTGTGTTCAATCAACCGTAGAGTAGGTCAGGACAGAGTCAGCTTGCCACCAAGCTGTCCGAAGTTGCCCACTGAAGTGGCCGTAAGAAGATACCTTGAAACTACGACCCTAGAAAGTTCCGTGCACACACGTCAGCCCAACTAAAGCCGTAAAACAAACATGCTTTCAACACACCTCGGTTTGCCCGTGGCAGGATCCTTGTCGACCTTGTACGAAGGTGGTGACGGGGGGAAGAACGCAAATTTTGCAGCTATGCTGGACGTCACCCCTCCCATTGTGCTTTTCGGCGGGGCGCCAGAATAATGTAGTAGCGCACAATGCAAAAGTGTTGATGCTCAAGTACTGGCTTTTCAATTCAACATCTGCAGAAACCCTCTCAATCAAGGGTTTTCTTCTTCCCTTTTATCTTGTACGATGAAATAGCTGGAGAGCCCGGCCAGTGGCCATGGAAACTCATGGAAACCCTCCAAGTGCTTCACCGCTTTTGCATTTCATGAACTCAACTTCCTCAAAGAGCAAAGGTGGCTCGAGATGCACAATTGCCACGAATGGGCACAGGGTTGGAGAGTCAAGTTTTCTTGGTAGTTGGCCTTGCAAAGAGAACCTTCTCCCTGTACGAAAGAAGGTGTCAACAACAAAGCCGCTGCAGCAGAGATTGGAATTAAGAATGCTGCATGATGCAGCTGCTGGCACCCCACTGTTTCATAGGCGAGAGCACTGCAAGCAGCCCCAGTTTAAGATACCTATGTACAAGATCTTTAATGCCGCGCCCCTGCCCGCGATCTGAAATTCATCCACTCTTGATCAACTGCCTTGGCCCTGGCCTGGGCCTGGGCCAGGTGGGCAGTCACGCTGCTGCCTCACGCACACATACGGTAGGTACCTAAGTTACTGTTACCTAAGAACATAGGACAGCCCCTCGGGGATGTATCGAATCAGTTTCTGCAAGCAGGGATTGCCTGCAACGAGCACTCGATTCTTAAATTTTGGCGCGGCCCCCGCCCAGCTGTCCAAC